TGTTTTCTTTTCTTTTCTTTTTTTTTTGGTAAAAATAAGTAGATATTTGTATGTTTTCTTATTGTCTCTTTTCCCGTTATTTTTTGTTGTCTCTTTTTTCTTAAACAACAGATAGCATACTGTAAACGCTCTTTGTACTTTGCAGAATGTCTGAGAAGTGATCACATGTTAGTTCAGAGAACTTCCTCATTCTTTTTAATAGGTGCATAGTACTCCTTTGTGTAGAGGTACCATAATTTATTCAGTCCTAAATGGTTGGGCATTTAGGTAGTTTCCAATATTTCACAATAGCACAATAGTTTCCAATATTTCACAATACTTGTGCACATGTATTTTCACATTGTTGAAAGTGTTTCTTCAGGCTTACTTCCCTAGGAGTGGGATTGCTAGTTGGAAAAGTTAACACAAAATAATGTGTTGATGAGGATGTGGAGAAAAGGGAACCCTGTGCACTGTTGGTGGGAATGTAAACTGGTGCATCAACTATGGAAAATAATATGGAGGGCCCTAAAAAAATAAAAGTAGAACTACCATATGATCCAGTCGTTCTATTTCTGGGTACTTATCTGAAGAAAATAAAAACATTAACTCAAAAAGATATATTCATGTTCATTGCAGCATTATTTATAGTAGCCAAGATATGGAAACAACCTAAGTGTCCATAGATGGATGAATGAATAAAGAAAATGTGATATACATGGAATATTATTCAGCTGTAAAAAAGGAAGGAAATCTTGCCATTTGTGACAACATGAATAGACCTTGGCAGCATTACACTAAGTGAAATAAATCAGACAGAGACAGACAAGCACTGTATGATCTCATTTACATGTAGAATCTAAAAAAAATTTTTTAAATGAGCTCAAAGATATAGAGAACAGATTGGTGATTGCTAGAGGTGAGGTCTGGGGGAGGGCAAAATGGGTGAAGAGGGTCAAAAGGTACAAAATTCCAGTTCTAAAGTAAATAAGTCACAGGGAAGTAATGTACAGTATCATGACTCTAATTAATAATACTGCATTGCATATTTGAAAGTTGCTAAGAAAATTGATCTAAAAGTTCTCATCACAAGGAAAAAAATTTGCAACTACGTGTGGTGATGGATGTTAACTAGACCTATTGTGGTGATCACTTCACAATATTTGCAAATATCGATCATTAGGTTGTACACCTGAAACTAATATGATGTTACAAGTCAATTATACCTCAATTTAAAAAAAAGTAAATGCACACATAGATTGTCAGATATTGCCAAATTCTCCAGCATGGCGATTATACCATTTTGCATTCTTACCAGCAGTGTCAGAGACTGTCTGTTTCCTACACTTTCTGTCACAAACGATTGTTGCTTGTCCCACTGCTCAGAGTTCCCCAGCCAGAAGAAGTTCTGTTCTCCTCACTTTCTTGCACCTTCAAGGTCATTCTCCCCGGACTGTCTTAGCAGATGCCAATCTCCCCATCACTGATGCGGGAACATGTAGCAGCTGGGAAAGCATCTCACAACCCTGGAAGATTTTTTTAAAATGATTATGACCAAAACAAACCCCACAGTAATAATGTTCCTTGTAGAAAATACTCGTATGCAAAAAGAGAAAAATTGCATATACTCTCACCCCAGGATAGACATTTATTAACATTTTGTTATATTTTCTTTACAATGTTGTGTTACTTTCTGGTGTACAGCACAGTGATTCAGTTATACATATAGATATTCTTTTTCATACTCTTTTTCCTTGTAGGTCATTACAAGATATTGACTATAGTTCCCTGTGCTATACAGTAGGACCTTGTT